TGTCACGGTCCTTGGACAGTATAACTGGATGCTTGGCAGAAAGTGGGAGCGACGAGTTTCTCAATTAAGCGACCTCCAACGCACAAAACCCCCAGGTCATCAGTGATATCCCTTGGAAGGGGTTTCTCGATCCTAACTTCAACTCATTCTCCTGAAGGAGATTGCCTCCAGTACGTCGCTCTTGAACATTGGTCAGACGAGTGTCGGCGATGCCCTACGCTCTTCTCTTTAGTCTTGCAACGGCTTGCACAGGCAAAGACCAGCTGGAGAACCTTGCCAGCCTTGACAAAAGGCTGGTGTCGATCACTTGACTCAGTCACTCATGTGCTTAGGACTACCAACTTCTTCACTTCTCTCTTATTCTCAAAACTTACAGAGACTGAAGTCAGTTTCTAAATATCGTTGTTGACGGATTAGAGAGGTTTCAAGAGATAGAGCTGAAAATTACATCAGACAATGGGACAAAATCAGCAGAATGTTTTGATGTCGGCTCCTTCCTTCCTCTTTGCTGTAAATGGATCCTTGTGATCTGTCGCCATGTCTTAATCAAGGAAGGCCTCAAGGAGACTCACATTGTCTTCAAAGGCCAATAACCTAGCCGGTGCGCTCTCTCGAGAAGCCCAAAGCGTGCCCATGAGTTAAAAAAAATTTTGATATAAAAATGGCTGCCTACATGATAACTACAGCCAGCTAACCCTTAGGACAGTCTACATTAGGACAGTTTACCAACAGTGCTTTTACTATCATTGTTCGATCAAATTTGGGCCGGTGTACTCTCTGGTTGGTTTTTAGTTTCATTTAGTGCAATTAAAGCCATCAATCCAACTTCCATGCAGGCTTAATTGTTACCTATTTCATCCGGTCGACAGATTCTTGAAATAGCTGACCGAGCTACAGGGACGGGCATCCCTCAAAGACATCCGAAAGCGGCTCCTGAAAAAAAAAACAAAGGCCACACCTCTAAACTTGTTTTATCTTTACTTTAAATGAACGATGAACACTTTCCAAATTAGCATTAGCCCACTCGTCGTTGAATATTTTAGGGGTGAATACTATTGAAATACATGAGGATTTATCTCCACCATTCTAATGACGAAGAATTTGCATCTTGCTTTTGCTTTTCTACCAATTAAATACCCGGGCTGCATAATTTCTTTTTCAAGGGCGCGCTGAACGCAAATGAACTTCGGTTTCTATCACAATGTTGTGTTCATTTCAAGAAATGGAGGGTGGCTTCCGGGGAACAGACATCTGTGGGGGGGGGGCGTTCCCCGTGTCCAAGGCACTGTGACATCACTGTCTGTTCATCAGCTATATACAGCAAATCTCTTGATTCAGGTAAATTAAACAACATTTTCCACACTGATCGCAAATTCATTGCATTTCCAACACCGTGACAGATTAGGCCCAGTTAAGCGCTCCGCAAAGTGATACCTTTACCCAACGAAAGGCCCTATATTTGTGACAAACGCAGTGCGGAATGAGTCATAAACTCATTTGCAACCAACTGCGTCTCTCTTCTGGTCCATCGATGGTACCTGGAACTTGTACAAAGACTTGTTGACTGTAATCTAGGCCTACTCGTGACAAAGAAAATAATGCTCCGCTTCTGTACAGTTTCGAAAGCCTTGGTTTGTGACAGCTGACTGTTCAGTTAGGCCCTATTTGCAGTTCATAGTTCACACTCTATTAGTTTAGGGCTTTGCCCTACATCATTGACGATAATTGGAGTGGGACGATTCGTTTCATGGCTTGTGCAACCGGCTGATATATTCGTGGCCTGGTGGGAAGAGTACACCTTTGCCTTTGTTTCTCACAGTGAAATTGTTGTAAACGCTTTGGCCATAATGGATAACTGACCCAACTTAAGATTCGGTGTACTATGATCGAGGTCATAGGTGGAGTGGTCATTTCCAGTCGTTCCATCATGAAATTGAAAACATCTAAATCGGGTGATTACCCAAATATCTACTAAATTGACTTAGGTCACATTTATATGTTTTTTTTTGTTAAATTGGTGTTAACAAGGCTGAAAGGCACCGTTTGTAGACAAAGTATTTTTCCAGCAAATATTGTCCAGTGACGTAGGACCACCGGCTGTTGTATGTAACGCTTCGTGAAGCGCAAACATCTCGCCCTAGTTTCTATAACTGTCCATTCCCAACTCCAACTGTTTTCTTGACTTGGACGATTTATTGAATGACGTCATTTGGTTAAACAGGCTGAACCTGGTCAAGGGGCGGATTGAGTCACGAGACCCAAAACGGGTGATTTTCTTAATTCAGCTATGGAGTGTAGCGGGTAAGTTTTCTCATTTCAGGCAGTTCCCCTTTAAAACATAAATCACAGATGATAATCTTAAGTTATGTCTGAAGTACTGTAATAATGAGGCATCGGTAAGGTCTTAGAGTGCAACGATATACATGTACATCGACTCTTTATGCATGGAAATTGCTTGAGTGAAGTCCCTACTTCACTTTAATCGTCTAATGCACCCAATCACGTATGCGGAAACATACAAATTTCATCGATTGGCACTTTTTAAGGGTAGGTGCACTGCACACCTATAACTTAGTAGTTAGTGGTTCGAAGCCAAGTGTAATTAAATCATCACGTTTACCAGTCATTTGTGAGTAAAACTTGTAAGCCTTATTGTTGGCCTTCGCAGGTAATGAGCTGTGCTATATATGCGAATTATTGATTATGCACAGATTATCAACTGAGTGGCCTTCTTGCCTCTGCAAGGGGTTTTTTGTATTTTTAAACTCCGCACAGATTTTGCCCTTAAATTACGTTATTGCCTTCGAAAAAGATTCAGCTGGGATCGAAACATCCACCCCTCCTACATATTTATTTGTATTTTAGGTCAACAAGCAATTTGCAGCAAGGGTTGTTTAACATACATGTATACTCTAAAATTATATAGCTAGAAAATTAATACTGTTGCGTTCCCTAAATATCAAGTCGATGGTAGCATGGACTTCATTAGTGTCTACGGG